TCATCATCATCAACAACAATAATAATAATCACAAATGTTACAATCTGAAAAAGAAATGAAATAATGCTCACTTTTAAACATAAAAACAAATACCTCTTGAAATATGTTGAAGCAGATTGATTTCAATCCAAGCCATATATCTTCATCTTTCAAAAATGTATTTATTTACTTTTTTCTTTACGTTCAAAATTAGTCACTGGATGATACAAATTGTATATAAAAGATTTACATAACCCGAAATATGTGAATATAGAATTAAATCATCCCCCTATGATACTTAAGCATTTATAATATAGATTTACAACTAACTTCAGCAATAAGGAAAAATTTGATGAAGCTAAAATATATAAAAGCCCTGGAAGAAAACAAACACAAAGTAAATACAGAATACAAAAACGTAAAAAGATCACCTACAGCTACGTTAGAAATATCAAAAATTCATATCCCATCGTAACAATATAATATTGAATAATTATATAACATGCAATAACGAGGTAAGAGTAGATAATAATAAAAACTGTAACTGCCGAAATAATATGAACTCTCCCTTATCTGGCCAAGATTTGACTAATAATGTTTATAGAGCTAACATATCATCATATAAAGAAAATACCTTTTATATTGGTTCAACTGAAACGCATTGGAAAAATCAATTTAATAATCATACACTAAGAATACGTAACGATAAATACACAACTAAAGCCACTCTCTCTTACTGACAATTAAAGGATTGCGGATCTTTACCAAAAATTACGCGGAAAATAATGGCAAGAAGTAAATTATTTCTATTCAATACCCACCAGAATAATTTGAAACATAACCGTTTATATTTATTATATTTTATTTATATATGCTGGTCGAAGGTGCATTATGGGTAGGTCTGTTGTATTATTCTAACAGAATTATAATAATACAATAGACCTTCTCATAATGCAACTTCGACCAGCATATATAAATAGTCGAGCCAAAAAACAACATACAAAACTGGAAAAGTCATTGTTATGTAATTTATAATTATCACCAAAATTGTTAATACAAAATATTCATTCATAAAAGAAGATTTAGTCTTATACAATTAAAAAAATGTTTAGGTTTTAAGTAGGCCACAAAATTATGATAAGCCGTAAATTAAATCAATCAACGACACTTTAATAAGAGTTTCTGATATTCTTAGGTAGGGAGAAACATGAATAGAACATATTAAATCTGCATAAAGTTTATATAATTTAAACAGATATTAATCAACGTACTGATTCAAAATCAGTAAAAGAAAAATTAACGGATGACAACTATATTTTGTAAATCAAAATGGAGCACATCGACGTGGTGTAATGGTTACTACTCACTGAGTAGTGATTTCGATCCTCATTGGGTGCTCGTTACTTGCGCCCTTGTGCTGCATCTAAGCTGCGCTTAGATAATCAGTATGGAAATAAAAATATTGATAGGTATGTTTTCGAGTAACAAAAAGGAAAGGCAGGTTTTCAAGATGAACGATTTACATCAGTTACCTCCCTTTTAGATTTAGTGATACATCATCCAGGAATTAGGATTTTTTTTTCTCTTCAGTTCGATTTTGATTTCGAACTAACAACACTTCGAGTTTAATTAATTGTACGAAGCCCACGAAAAATATAGTTTTCTGCCTTGGACTGACTTGATTTATCTTTGGGATTTCGAAACAATTTTTATTATTTAATTTTTATATTTTTTTTTTCTGGTACTCTTTAAAAAATGGTCAAATTTTAAATGATTGATTGCAAGACATATTTTTCTTAAAATTAGGATTTATGTTTAAAATAATCCATATAGATATGTAGAATAAATAATGTAAGTAGTAAGAACAGTCCTAAAAATATGAATATATACAATATATACAGCAGTATATATGCATACAAACACGCACGCATAAATACGCACATATATTTTGAACATGCATAATTTATATATAAAAGTGTTTCTTTGAAACCAACCTAAAAAATAGATCTTTGCTGTTTGTGCATACATGTGGAAGATATTACGCATATGTCATGCAAATATCTATAAATGTGTTTTGTATAAAAATGTGATTCTACAATCATCTAGAATCTAAATATACATCTGCATGATTATAAACATCGTCTTTTGTCTCAAGTTTAATGTTTGCATGAATGTAATACATATCTATATAATATCTACATAACGAATATAATACATATGTATATCATATCTACATATTATGTAATGAATGTAATACATATCTATATAATATCTACATAATGAATATAATACATATGTATATCATATCTACATATTATGTAATGAATGTAATAAATATCTATATAATATCTACATAATGCAATACATATCTATATACTAGCAAAGGTTTGATATGAAGACAACTCATTTGATGAATAATCTGATACTTTTTATTTTACTATGTATTGATATTTAAATAATCTCTGATACTTGTAAACTTATCGAACCAGTGAAATGCAGCCAACAACATTTTTGTAGACTCGGACTCAGAGTACTTTCTACTCTTCACTGTTACTATGACAATGGACTGTTCCTACTTATACCAAATAGCCACGTTAGAATGAGATTTGGGGATAAATTGATTCCCTTTTCAAGTTTTTTTCCGTTCTATGTGTGAGTATTTAATAAATTTCTCTGTTTTCCCTACCTGTTCTTCTATTCCTTTGATAATCTCTCTAACTATGGCCTTCATAATTCTCGGCTATTTTGTGAACAAAAAAAAAATTACAACAAATATTAATTATTTTTTTGTTAAAATTTCCGAGATGAGGAGTTACATTTGCCTCTTCTTTATTGTTATTAGAACAACGTTTCGACCGTTCTTTCATTCTGGCCTTCTTCATGTGTCTTCCGATCCGGGTAACCTTTAATATACGAGTGTAGATTGTTTACATTCAACTGTCCATTTCTAGGGATATCTCACCCTTTTTCTTATTTAGTACTAATCAGTTATTGTTCACTCGTGGTGAATGCAACAAACAGGATTTATTTAATCATTTCACTCCAAGCAAGGCAATAAAGCCACTAGGACGCAAGAGGTTACTGAGTTTTAGAGAGTATGAGAAAAACTAGTATTAAGGTGAAAGGACAATAAAATAATATGTATTAAGAAGACAGAAGATAACGATTGACATTTCATTTAAACTTTTGAAGATCAAAATTGACTAGGAAGCAAGAAGCCGAAAGATAGTTCCACAAGCGAGAAGTGTGATAGAATAATCTGTTAGTATAGAATTTACGGTTATATCTACATATATCAACTTTCAAATGATGAGACCTTGCCGTCAATCTAGTACTGCGCTTAAATTCATAAAATCTAGATACGATAGAGGAAAGTCTATCCGAACAATTATCATGAAAATATTTATAGAAAAGACACAGGGAAGCTACTTTACAGTAGTGAGAAAGGGACTGAAGCTGAGATACCAGATGAAGACCAGTAATATTGCATATTCTTCTATCGATTTTATCAAGAATCTCTAAATATACAGCTGGGGACCAGACCATGTGTGGCAGCAATATTTAAAGCAAGGACGAATGTTAGACTTATAAATATGTAAGATAGATTTTGTCCAGAAAAGTTTCTAACACGACATAGTGAACATTTTTTTAGCTACAGACTTAGCAAATGATTCAATATCCTTATTCCACTTCATGTGAGCTGAAAACGTTAGTCCAATAAAGCGCAATGAGTCACTTTCCTGGAGATTAGCATCAGTCAGGCTGATGAAAAATAAAAATTGTTCCCTCAGATGATTAAAAGAAAGCAGAATAGAATCCTGGTAGATTAAAGCATTGGTTCATTATTCTACGGGTGTAGATTGGTCTCGTTACACTATGTCTGGGAATATCTCTTGTTCTTTTAAATACATTTTAGTTGTTGGACGCTCTATTTCCACTAATAACTCTATCTTTTTTACAATTTGCTGGCATAGTAATTGTGAGTTCAATCCCTGTGTCAGTTAGAACAAGCTTAGTGGACACGGCGAGACATAACTGAGCAATACTAAAGACAAAAGAAGAAATATCCCTAGAACTGGACAGTGGAACAAGTAAAATTTACTCTCTTGGATTAAATTTCAAAATCCCTTGTAGGTTAACCTGATTCCCATACATCTGAAGTAGAAATTTTAATCATTTTACTCCAATCAAGGCAATAAACCACTAGGACGCAAGAGGTTAATGAGTGTTAGAGAGTATGAGAAAAACTATAACGATCGAAACATTATGATAACAACAAGAAAGATAAGTAAAATAGTCCAAGTGAAAATGATGTAAATAACAATATATACATTAATTTTATAAGTGTTAATTCAAATAAGATATTTAAAATTAAAATGTTTCGTTTACAGTTTAGAAAGTTTATCTGTTAAATTATTTTGGTGATATTCTAATAAGTTTTATGTTGCTCTTCTTACTTGTTTCGATATAGAATAACTGTTTATATAACATAATTAAATTGATGCATAGAATCACATAAAAGAAACTCCGTTTTGCATGCAATAATTTAATGCGTTCAGCAAGAAATATTAAATAATTTGGGAACACTCGAATTCTAATACATTCAATATAGATTCACGTAAATATGATTGCACATATGAATGAAATATCAGGGAGGCGTGAGATGGCCAATAAGTAAATTATTTCTGTCATGGCTGTTGCCATTGTGTCAGACTAAGACAAACCACAAGTCTCCAGTGCTCAGTAAAATCCTTTGTTTGAATATTGATAGGTATACTTTCCTCAAGCATCCAGCGAGTAAATCATTGCTTGTCTTTACATGCCTTTTACATGCATAAGATACACATACTTAGATACAGGAGTGTAATTCAGTACACAAACTCACGCCTGCACACGCACAAGCACACGCGCATACGCGCACACGTACATACACACACAGATGCAAATACTGTCGCACGCTTCCATACTGGGTTTTATGAAGTCAGGGGAGGCAGTTCGTTGCTCCTTCCGCTGCAACTAACCTGCGTCTATGCACCTTATAAATGGTAAAAGCTCCGTAGATGAGAGGGTTAAGCATGCAGTTGGAGGTACCCAGGCTGAAGAAGTAGGTGACAGTGCGACTGTTTTCCCAGTGGAAAAAGGCGAATCCAAGGAAGATGATGTAGTAGGGTGTCCAGCAGAGGATGAAAGCTGCTACGATAACAGCGCTCATTCGCGAAGACTTTTTGCGGGCTCGCTCGAACAGATGGGTACGAATCTGGCCGTGGTTGACGCTATTGCACGACAAGGACGCTGACGACATTGGCGTATCTGGGGAGAAAAAAAAAGGAAGAAATAAAAATGAAATGATAAATTAAAAAACGTTGGTTAGGATTCATACGCAAACGACGTGTTGTTTCGATTTTACGGCGACTTGTCATGTATTTCTCGTTATGACCACAATTATAAAGGATCTTTAAGCGCACATCATAAAAGCAACACAGTCGTTCTCTCTTTGTCGTTCGTCTCACATATTCTGCCAGGAGTTATTTACAAATCCCTATCCCAGGTTCAAGTACCGCAGAAAGAATATCATTTCGCTCTTCGTTTTAAAAACAATGTATTTTTCACTCTGTAACGTATTAAAATTTTACACTATTTCCATCCTCATCTTTGTTCTATTTATTCCAATGATTCGGCCGTTTTGCATTTTACTCATCTTCAGGTGTATGTCCGGATATTTTTCACGGAATTTCGAAATGACTCTTTTATGTTTAGAGATTAAATGCTATAATCTACATGTGAATCAATAGTTTAGTTGATCAAAGTGTTGGTTGTTTAATTTGGTGGCATCGTAATTGCGAGTTCAATCCCTGTGGCAGATTGTAGACTTAGACTCTGTGAAAACAGAGTAAGCAATAACTGAGTAGAACCAAAAAGAACAAGGCAAGATATCTGGAAATGGATAGTGGAACGAAAACAATGGTAGATGAAATAAATCGGTCAGTTCGAAATTCCCTGAAGATTATCCGTCAGATATCTGAAGAAAACACGAAGAGCCTAAAAAATAGCAAGTGTAAGTATTTTTTACAAAATATAATTAATCAATGGTATAAGTAATTGTTCTTCGAAAAAAAAATGTTTGGAAGAGATATTTGATTTTTAAGAAATATTTGAAATGTTTTAATGTTTTTAATTTTTATTTTGACCATTGTCGATCGAATTCGCTTATCGAACTGGATTTAAGGCGGTATAAAATTTTACTTTTTTGATTTAAGGCAGTATAAAATTGTTATTTAATACATAAAACAATATCTTTCAAAGAAAAGTACAATTTAACTTTAAAGAAAACATTTAAATTATTTAAAATTTGTTTTACGCTTTTTTAGGAAGTGCGTAGAGCCATTTAATTTAACTCATCCCTTGAATACAGACAGAAAGGCTAAGACTTTACTTGAGACGGAAAAATCATTGGCTCAAATTACCATAAAATTTCTAGGAAGTACAAAAACTTACTTTTAACCCGTGTCTTTATGTCACATTCTACTTATTTAAGTTGCATTTTAATGATGCAATAATTTATAAATCCTTAAGTCTGAGATTCTTTTCAAACGCTTCATCGGAGAATAGACATATATCTGAGTGCTGTCAGTATTTTGGTCTAATTTCAGCAGTTGGAAACTGATATTCACATAAAATGTAACCTGAAAAACATTTGAATGGACCACCCTTTCTTATTCTCTGTTTAGAAGAACATGCGTATAGTTGAAGAACTTCTGCTTCTTTGTAAACACAATTATGAATTTCAAGTTGACTACTTATTTCTTTTGATAATTGCTAAAGAAAAAGACGCTTCGGGATATCTGACATGATGTGTATGGAAGATTAATTGACCGCTGAAGGCAAGTCATAATTGAAACAAATAAAAGCTTAAATCTAAGATACGTGAGATGACTTGGAACCTGCTGATACATAAAATATTTGTGTATCTTTTGCATTCTGATAAGAAACATAGATCAGTTACACTGTTTTTGCCTAGAGGGATGTTTTAAACTATCATCAATTAATGATTAGTGCATAATAATCGATATCATAACACTTATGTAGCTTCACTTGTATGCTCGGAAGCAATTTATTTCCAATAAATCATATTTATCATATATATTTATTTTCCCGAACGTGTTCAAAATTAACCAACGACACAGAAGGCCATTGGATTTCTTGAAGAAAACCAAACAACTTTTTTTTTTTATCAAAAGATACACTTTTTGCTGTTGTGCTTTCATACATATAACATTCGTGAATCCTTTTGGATATGATTTTAATTCCAGAATTTTCTACTTAGTAAGGATTGTTTGATTAATCTGAATCTCTCCATAATCTTTATCAAACATGTTACTTGTACAGTCCTTAAACACGATGTGCTTCGCTTATCCAGCAATATTTATATTTGGTAATAAATTAGTGGGGAGGTCATTCCCAAATCCTATCACAAATTCTATATTCAGTTTTTTTATTTATTTACCAGTCTGTCTCTTTTTATTATTTTCTTTAAAACAACAACAAAAAAAAAAAAACAAAAAAAAAAAACGCGATACCTGAGGTTTAAAATGAATGCTTAAAAATAAAAAAATTGAAGCTTTTATTTTAGTTTTAATTTTAAGTTTATAGATTAAATTTAATATTTCCAATAAACAAAAATACTTTGCTGTATTCCAAAACTAATTTAAATTGACTGGAAGAAGTTTTCGTTTTGAAATCAATAATTTTAGCTCCATTTTTAGCTATCTATCATTCGCAATGTAATTTTCTTTATTAAATACCTTTCAAAAATAAAATATACTTTTCTAAAACTTTATTTGAGGAATATTAGCTGCTTTGATGTTTAATTAATCTGATTTGAAACAAATATTACTTAAAATGTCCCAGAAATGCATTTTTAACAGGGCTGAAGCTGTTTATTTTAGGTGCTGACAGACGGAAGTTTATCTAATGATTTCTACTGTCTACGCCTTTTTTTAAAAATATTTTCTTTAACTAAGCGGTAATCATAAAAATTTAGGAAAACATACTCCATAATATAATTTATTCTTGAACTTTAGGTTATTTGGCTTTACTATAGTTATCATTATTATTTTGTTATAATGTCGTGTATGAACAGCCGTACTTATAAAAATCGGCACGTTTATACACACAAAATACTTCAAAATCTTTTTTAAAATGTTAGTATTGGATGAATTGCAATAAGCTTTTATAGTTTTTACTTAATAACAATATCACCGAACCTATACAAATTAAGGCAATTTTGAAAGATTTATAAATTATTCTAATTAAAATTAAAAAAAAAAAAACGATGAAAACAATTCTTGTAAACATTCATTATTTATCGAATTTTCTTTTCTTAAAAAAATAGTGTCCATATCTTTTAAAATATATCTTATCTTTTAAAATATATCTTATCTTTTAAAATATATCTTATCTTTTAAAATATATTTTATTTATAAAAGCAATTAAAAGCTTTTCTAATGTCTTAGCTTTAATGCATTTGTTATTTTTCTGAACAGATTTTCGGTAACGTGCTCCTGTTTTACAAAAAGAAATTAATGATTTAAATTCTACAAGGAGTTCTTCTTTTAATTAATATAAAAATTAAGCTCTACAAAATTTAATTTCTCGGATTTTCACAAAATTAAATAAGTAGGCAGGGGAAACAAATGTAAAAAAAAAATTAGCATAATTTTCTAAATTTTTTGGGAGAATAAATCTTGAACGTTTCATTAAAATCCGGCAATTATATAATTTTTGCATGAATTTCCAAATCAAAAAAGAGGCGAAAATTTACTATACTAATCTTTGGCCAAAGGGCTGACGAAAAAAAAACACACAAAAAAACAAAACAAAAGAAAAACAAAAAAAAAAACCAACATTTTTAACCAAAATTTCGAATGTTCTAGAAAAAATAAAAAGTATAATTTAAAAAAAAATCCTTTGGTCTTTTCTCTTAATAATAACAAAGATTTTGATGGTAAAACATTGTTTTTATTAGGTTTAGGGCATTTTTTCATTATTGCATTTTAGTGATTCATTGGAGGTATATGACTTTATACGTTTTTTCTAATCTGAATTATTTTTTTGTAAATCTGAATATTTCTTTCCAGTTCCGAAGCTATCTTAGCCATATTTTTGTTAATGCTTAAATGTAATACACCACATCCAATTCCCTGCCATGGCCTTAGTTGAAATGTATGTTATAACTTAGGGAATCTCGTATATTTTCTGTTCTACGTTAACAGGTAGTGAAAACCGAGATGAACTTGGCCAACTGTAAGAGGTCAGTGTAAGAGTTCATTTCCATTTTTTTTTACTGACCAAAGGGGATAAATTTTGTCAGGCTAGGAAGAATCTTGAAATTTCTAGTTTTAGGCTTGATAAAAATAATGATTCTATCACCGTTCAGATGTTGATAGATATAGATTTTATTCAATTCATGAAACCAATGAACCTAATTAAATGTCTGGATGATTTGTCTAGGCAAGTCAATGGTGGAATAATACATTTGAGAACATTATATATTTTTTAAAACTAAGCAGTTTCTGATTGCGTAACTCGGAAACGTGACAATGTTGCTAATGACCTAATTGTTCAATCTTCTATACACATGTAAATTTTGCTTAGGATCTCTTAAGAGATACTTTTTATGCGATGTTGATAGAGCATAATTTGAAAAGATTAATTAAGTATTGGATCTCTAGGAGTCGTGGATGAATACCATATCTCTGATATGGGAAACTAGATTAACACAGAAAAAAGTAATTACGAGAGCTAAAAGGCTGCAGGACGATCCTCATATACGGTATTAAATTAGAAGTGTTCTAAAAAGTTAATATTACTTTTATAAAATTAAAATATTCTTAATAATGAGAAAATTGATTTTGATTTGTAATATGATTACAATAAGATTTCTACTGAATATTACTAATGCTTTTAATCTTATCTAAAATCTTAGCTTCTCACATATATTTAGATAAATAAATGATTGAAGAGAACTGAACAAATATATTAAATATAAAGTAAAAAAATGAAAAGTTCTCATATTGTTACTGCCTAAAATTTCTAATCAGTTACTTACGTCTTCTTGGTTAACTCGCATTATGACAAAAATATCTGCGCCTATAGAACAGAAATTTAATTGTTATTAATTAACTTCGAATTCGAATATCAAAATTTTATGCGTACATTTCCACGCTGTTTTATTGCCTAAAATTACTATGAAAAATCATTTGTTGTATTTTAAATACCAAAATAAATATTAATATATAAATTAAAAAAAACAAATTTTATTTTGAAATTAGCTTAAGATTAGTATTTTTCTATAATAAAAAATTATTGCTTAAAAAGAAAGACCATAAAAGAAATGAAAGACCAAGATAAAATGGCGACATAAAAGGCCATGGAATAATTGAAAGACCATAAAAGAAATGGTGAAATAAAAGACCTGGAAAGAGAATGAAGAGCATGAAAGAAATGGCGAAATAAAAGACCATGATACAGTTGAAAGACCAAGTTGAAAGACCAAGTTGAAAGACTATGATACAATTGAAAGACCAAGAAAGACCATGATACAATTGAAAGACCAAGAAAGAAATCTCGAAATGAAAATCAAACTTATTAAATTAAATAGTCGAACAATTTATTTACTATTCACAAAGAAGTAAAAAAGAGAAAAGCTGTCCGAAATACATTCATTGTTTGTTTGAGCCGTTGAAGAGATATTTTTAAAATGGTATCGAAAAGTTGCACAAATCTTATTGTGTGCGTGGCTTGATCAACAAACAAAATTTGTTGAACTGTTCATGGTCTTTTTTTCGGAAATATCTTATGGGAAATAAAAGAAATGTTTGTTGCTTCTGTTGAGATTCTACTTCTTCAGAATGAAGGAATTAACAACAATTTTGAACCAGTGAAGATAAGTAGGAGAAAACTTTTAGTGAGAGGCAGAATGAGAGAGTATGAAAGAGATACTGATAGAATAAAAAAGGGCAGAGTAATTGAAAGAGAGAGATAAATAGTAAAATTATCCAGAGAAAAAAGAAGACAGATAGAGGGTGAGAGAAAAAGAGAATCATGTCGAGAAAGATGGGGACTCTTGAAAAGACAAATGAAACGTATTCGAGATCGAGAGAAAAATCAGAGAAAGCACGATAGAGAGAGAGATAGATAGATAGAGAGAGAGAGAGAGAGAGAGAGAGAGAGAGAGAGGGAAAGGAGAGGGATAAAGAAAGTGTGTGAATTCAAAGCGTAGGCATATTGAAAACACCATGTTGAAAAAGCTCTAGTTAACTCAATGAAATTTCAATGTTTGATCTCGAAAACAAGTATTTATTTGTTTCTAACGATTCCTAAGGCCGCCATTTGTTTCATTTAAACTCACCTAAACTAAAATTAGCATCGTGTGGACACAACAAAATCACAGCAGTTGCAAAACGATGTACATCTTTTACTAAATAGCAATTTAATAGTTACAAAGTAATTTTAAGAAACAATATATTATTAATTAAATTATCAAAAACTAAATTGTCAAGCTTGCGTTAAAAAACACTGTACACAGAACCTTTCTTATGCGCTTCGTATAAGACTTTTATTGACTTTGCATATAGCAATGGTTATCATGAATATCTTGCATTTATTTATAGCTTCTAATTCTAGAAAATTCTTGTCATTGATTTGTCATATGCCCATTAGAAACAAATATTAACAGAGATGTTTGCACAAGAATATGTGGACTGTAATTTTAGTAGCTTTGTTCAATGCTTTAATCCCAGCTTCATAAAAAAAAACATATTTTCTGTTATTTACATTTGTCACACACATTTTTGCATTTGTTTCAAAATACGTTTATCGATTTTGATTAAGATTTTGACGAGAGAACGTTTTCTGTCGTACTTCTCTAAGCAACAATGAGTGAAATCACCATATATAAAATGTTCTATAAAATGTTCCCTTGTGCCAACGTTGACATCAACTGTGGAAAAATGAAATAAAATCGATAAATAAAATAATAATAATGCACAGTAAAAAAAGAAAAAAAGAAATACATTTTCCATGATGCTAAGAATAAAAGAACGATTATCCCACTTGGCTTCGTAAAACGTTAGGTGGCGCTGTTGAAATCAATAAAAAGACAAACATTTTCCTACCTCACTCTCTTTCTCCTTTTTTTGAGCCAAGATGTAGAACTACGTAGTCATTACGCCCCCACTGAAGAATGTTAATTTCCACAGTCCACTGACAACGGAACTCACTTTTCATTTTCTAACGCATAACACACGAACGTGTCTTTCAAAAACTTCCACTTCTGGAGTAAGTCAATCTTTCTCTTTGGTCGCACTAAATCAGCACAAGGCTGACTTGAGCGCAACTGTTGCAAAGATACTTATATTACCCAAACTTCTGGATCAAGAAAAAGAAGATGGACATCCCATATCCATGTTAAAAAATTCCAACACTAAAGTAAGTAAAAAATATTCTTTGGATGTTTCGGCTCTGCGCAAGGCTGACTTGAGCTCGACTAATAATACGATTTTTATACTTGCTTACCGTAACTCCTGGACCCAAAATGAAACGGAAATACTCAAGAAACATTGAGAACTCCGTTCCATTACTGTCACTATTAATAAATGAGAATAAACGGTCTTTAGTAGAAACACAAGTTTTTGTATGCTTCTTCCTTTTTGTTTATCATATGTGTACACGGACTACACCTAAAATACACACAAACCCGCAAACTTTGACTTTGGCATAATCAGTTAAAACTCCTTTCAATGGATTTAAAATTCGTCTAACCATTACAAGTTATAAAATTTAAAATGGCTGGTCAATACAAATATTTCCGCAAAAACGAAAATTCCAGTTTTCGTTCCAAGCAATAAATATTTTTCACTTTCAACCGGTAATATACAGACAAAGTGAACGAGACCCTAATGTTAGAATCTGTTAAGCTGAAAATTAATGTTAATTTTTAGTCATAACACAGAGCCCGTATTACTAAGTGGTTTGAGGATGAATATCTTCTGTTTGTAAAAAAGTCTGGTTTTCTGTTAACTGTGCGCTCAATCTATGTCGAAATTCGGTTTCAGTAATAGGAATAGTAATAGATTTTTTAAACAGAAGTAGTGGTTTATATCTTGTTCCTGCTTAGGATCGGGTTCTTTCTAACTTCACCTTCAACTATATACTTCTAACGCTTGTTCTTTTCTCCGCTAATATAAGTCCACACAGTAACCTTCTACCTTGAGTGACTCTTGGGCCTTGTATTGGGCGAACATTAGTAAAAAATTGAGTTTCAAATGAACGAAAAAGAATGAAAATGAACTGTCTGGTAGAAATAAACCGAAAAGAATGATAATAATATAAAAGTTACTACAGGATTTATAATATCCATTAGTGCAACCAATTAAAAAAAAAACTTTTGAAGTAGAGTAGACATAATTCAAGTACACAATCAAGTACTTGTAAAATACTTAAAAAAACTTCGCTTACAAAGCTGAAATGTCAAAATCATTTGGTTGATCTAGATGCATCTTAGTGATAGGCGAATCAGACATTATACCATATATATATATATATATATATATATATATATATATATATATATATATATATATGGAGATAGAGAGAGAGAGATAATATTGGTAGTTCAAAAATCAAACTTCCTTATCCAAACACTACTGAGATCTGGTGGATAAGGGACAAACCCTGTATTTCGAATGGAGATTCTTATCAAGAGCTAGCATCCCTAATAACTTTCGCGATCAGTGTGATCTATGCATTGCGGAAAAAAATTATTAAAGATAAAAATCAAGATGAGTTGCGAAATCTTCGTAATGAGATCATTTCCAAATGTAGATATAAAAAACAATTTAAAACATAAACACAGTTCGATCTTGGATCACCTAACATCGGACATGACATTTAAATAGAATGACTCTTATGATTATATATATCATTGTGTATATTTATGTGATGCTCTCAATATTTTTGATCATTTAATTTGGGTTAGCAAACTTTATTCATGTGTTGATATATGTGTATGTTGGCATGTAGGTAAAAGGTTTTCCTAAATAACTGATATACAAAATCTGATAGTTTCCTGATATTTTTATATACCTAGGTATATATGTAAACTTAAGAGATAGATACGCGATAATCACTCCGTGGGTTTTTAATATGGTTAACGTTTTCTTCCTCAGTGTTCTTTAAGTAAAAATTAATTTAATTCTACCCATCTATTTTTTTCTATGTTAAATGTATATATGGATGGATGTGAGTTTTTTAATTTTTACCTTTTACGTTTTAATTTTATATATATATATATATATATATATATATATATATATATATTTTTTTTTTTTTTGAACAATAAAAATATTAAAAATTAAAATCTTCAGACACACTGGGTAGTAGATTAATATTCTTTCGTTTTTTTAATTACTACTTCACTTAGATTTCTCGACTAGTTTCTGCTAAAATGGCCATCATCAGGAGAAGAAATATTTCTGCTTGCTGGGAGCAGTGAACTACAGAAATGAATGTCGTAATGGAGAAAATGAACTTTATATATATATATATATATATATATATATATATATATATATATATATATATATATATATATGTGTGTGTGTGTGTGTGTGTGTGCATGTATAGGTGTATATATGTGTATGTGTATATGTATGTTTATATGTATGTATGTGTATATGTATAGTTAGATGGATAGATAGATACGTTGTATATTTGTTTAGATGAGAGTGTGTATGTAAATGTATGGAGGTGTGTAAGTTTTTATGTATATATGTTTATGTACACGTATGTTTATGTCCGCATGTATTTGTGTGTAGATGTATATATACGCAGGAGTGTATGTGTATGGATATATATATATATATATATATATATATATATATATATATATATATATATATATATGTGTGTGTGTGTACACGCGTATATATATATATGTATGTGCGTGTAAATATAAATATGTTATGTATGTGTGTATAAACGAATGCGTTTTGGGGCATAGAAATATTAAGTTCTTGCTAGATTAAATATTCGTTAATTTTTATATGTTTATATTAAATTTGTAACCTGCAGGTGATATTACTTTTGTCAATTTTTCTTGATTGCACAGTGGCTCTTTTATAAACGCCCTTCGGTTTTATCACCCCCAAATCTTCCTCCTTTTTTTCTTTTCTTTTCTCTCTCTCTCATCTTCGGAATTTTAAGTTTAGATTATATCGTTTTTATTGTGCGTAGTGTCACCACAAATGTTTACACCCGTTTCCGGTGTCGGTTTTTAAATTAATTTAAGTCAGCGATACAGTAATGAATTATGTATCGGAAAATAATTCATATTTATCAGTATCTTACTCATTTAAACCGTCATTTAACTCTTCCCTTTAAAACTTTAATCCCCACCTTCACTTTTAGGCCTCCCTGTTCTTCTTTCGTATGTTACTCCTCTCTAGAGCTTTCATTTATTTCTCATATTCGTCCCCCACTCTCATACATACACTCTCACTAAATTTTATTTTTTATTCCCGGAGATATATTTTCCGATTTCTTTTCGAATTTGTAAGTCTGATGAATTGGATCGTAATTACGATTCCAATGTAATAATTTATACCCAGGGAATATTAGTGTTTAAGCCTTTTCATTATATATATATATATATATATATATATATATATATATATATATGTATATATATTTGTGTGTGTGTGTTATTTTCATAGAACACTGTTATTAGCACCACCACTCAATGTGCGATATATATATATATATATATATATATATATATATATATATGTGTGTGTGTGTGTGTGTGTGTGTGTGTGTGTTATTTTCCATAGAACACTATTATTAGCACCACCAATGTGCTGTGCTATATCATATTCATATATATATATATATATATATATATATATATATATATATATATATATGTGTGTGTGTGTGTGTGTGTGTGAAAAGTATGTGTATATAAATATAAACATATATATTATATGCGCGGTACTTATTAGAAAGCGCTCAATATCAGAGATAGCGCTAACATATTTGGTTGGATTGATATGAGTTTGTGTCCCTGGATTTCACGCTTTGGCGATGGTTAAAAACTAGTTAATTTTTGAAAATTTTGGATTTATGTAGATTGCGTGTATTGGTGTTATTATGGAAGTAGTGGAGTGGAATCGTCGTCGTGGTGTCACACATGCTAACGCAAACATAGATGCATGTCCGTACACCCGTTGAGGCACGCAG